TAAATTTGTATTAACAAAGAGTGGCGTGTATGTTGGTAAGGGATACATGAGTGATAGTCTCTTCAAACTAAATGTAATGACAGTTGTACCAAAAGTTGCTATGAATGAGAATAACACATCTTTCGTTTATATTCTTGAGTCAAATTTATGGCATGGTAGATTGGGACATGTAAATTATGATGCTTTGCGTAAATTAATTGGTTTGGATTATATACCAAAGTTTGAAATTAATCCTAATCATAAATGTGAAGTTTGTGTAGAAGCGAAACTAACTAAGGCTCCATTTAAATAGGTTGAAAGGAAAACCGAACCCTAGATTTAATTCATACTGATATATGTGATCTAAAATTTGTTCAAACTAAAGGAGGTAAAAAGTATTTCATAACATTTATCGATGATTGCACAAGATATTGTTATGTTTATTTACTTAGAAGTAAAGATGAAGCCTTAGAAATGTTTAAACTCTACAAAACAGAAGTTGAAAACCAACTTGGTAAAACCATTAAAATGGTTAGAAGTGATAGGGGCGGTGAATATGATACACCATTAAATGAATTTTGTGCACAACATGGCATTATTAACCAAACTATAGCACCCTATTCTCCTCAGCAAAATGGAATTGCTGAAAGAAAGAATAGAACCCTTAAAGAAATGATGAATGCCATGTTACTAAGTTCAGGCTTACCACAGAACTTGTGGGAGGAAGCAATATTGTCTGCTAATTATGTTCTTAACAGAATACCCCACAAGAAAACTAACAACACTCCTTACGAATTGTGGAAAGGTCGACCGCCATCCTACAAATACTTAAAAGTGTGGGGGTGTTTGGCAAAAGTTGAAGTTCCTGTTCCTAAAAAGACTAAGATTGGACCAAAAACAGTAGATTGTGTGTTTATTGGTTATGCTCTGAATAGTAGTGAATAGCTCCAATTGGAAGGAAAACCAAATGGAAGATGAATGAGTATAGGGCCATTGAATCATCATCAGTTATGTGTGTGACTTGCATACCATTGCATAATAGCTTTTCCTTCAACTTTAATTGCCTATATACGTCAAATTATCGCTAAGGAAAAGGCTTGAAACTCCTTAATTGACCTCCAATAACATGAATTGTTACATGCCAATTGTTGATTTGTGACATAACTCCCGCCACGTCATTTTCAGGTAAATTTAAGGATGATGTTTTAGAAGTCTCAACGAGACTCTTAAGGCTAATTATAGTGTTTTCTCCCAAGGTTTTGGCATTCTCTATCACCACCTAGTTTATAAGCTTGTGCTTGGTTTTGAATTTATGAGTTCTCAATTTGATGGGGGAAAAAAAAACAACCACATGGTTCTTGCAATTCGAAACCAAGCACAAGCTCATAAACTTGGTGGTGATAGAGAATGCCAACCACATGGTTGTTGCAATTCTATTGTGCACATAGTTTTAAACAACAGTGTCGGAATACATATTGATATCAATATTGATATTAGACAATATTGACCAAATATATCAGCGAATAATAGCATCAGAAGCCCAAATTCCTACTACACATTAGCTGTTACATAAATAAAGACCAACATTTAAAACCATGGTTGTGCTTAGCTAATATTTTGTCAATCATATTGCCTGTGTTTTGCAGGTAAGACAAGAATTCAGATTGTGCCGAGTGTACAAAACAGCATTTGGCGACAGATGGCCATCAGCAGCAGCAGCAGCAGCGACAAGCGATGCGACTGTTGAGCAAGCTCACTATGGTGGTGGTGGTGATGGTGGTGGTGACCATGCAAATCCTTCTCAAAATATGGCACATTGGCAAGTGATAACTGGGATGTTGGTGGGGTTGACAATGAAGCTTTGAGGGATTGGGAACAGCTGAATTAATTAGAATAAATTGCAATTAAGGAACTTAAGCTCCAGAGAAGGTAAGCACAAGTAGGGATGAGAATAGGGGCAAATAAAATCAAGATGCAGGAAGTTTATTTACTCAAAAAAAAAAAAAGTTATGTCCGAAAGTTAGTCAGATTGTGATTGCAGAGATTGAAGTAGTGTTGTGTGTATGAAATAAATTTAGACCATTAATTAATAATTCTGGGTACAATTTTGGGCACAAAATCTAGATTTGTAGTGTTACTGCTCTTGGGTGCCTAGTACAAGTTGTATGCAAAAACATATGGAAACAACGGTGAAAGATCTTCTGTTTCAATAACTCTTTGCCCCTTTGTTTCTAATCATTTGTCGTCGCTATGTCATACAAGAGAATCTCAAAAATGAGAATTTTAAAGTAAGGTTAAATATATTTTTTTCTCTTCAAAATGATGAATCTTGTGTCATTTTGATCCTTAATTTTTGTAAATTATATCAATTTGATCGCAAGTGTATAGAAATGTTTCAATTTGGTTCCAATGTTTCAATCTGATCTCCAATATATAAAAAATATTCATAATTTGAAAATTAAAAATATAACTAACCCTTTAAAGTATAATTATCAAACAACTATGAATAAAATAAATCACAAGGTTTTCAGGAAAAAAGATAACTACTTTGTATTAAATTGTAGACTTAGCTTCTGCCCAATCTATTACTTTGCTTCTCTCCATTATGGTCCACTTCAATGATTCAAATCATTCATCTTATAAGATTTGCTAAGAATATTGTTCATGTAAAAAAAATTAAGTTGATTAAATATCAATAGCTACATGATTGCATCACAAGATCACTCAAACAAATTGATGATTTTTTTTTTAATGTTTTTTTATCTAACCATGTAACTACTATTGTTCAATCAATTTTATTTTTGACACAGGCAATTGTTTCAACAGGTCCAATAAATAAATAATTCAAATTATAAGAGAGACATGAGGTGAACCAACATCAAGAAAATTGCACAATCTAGTCCATTTATATGGACTGAAGAGATGCTTTATTGTAAGATGGAAAAGTCTAGGGAACCAAAAAAATTCTTAGAATTACCAAGAATTTTTATCTATGATGTGCACCCATTTTAGTTATGATGCATTATTCTAGAAGTTGCTATCCAAATACGTCAGATTGTAATTTTATAAATTAATTTTTTTTTGATCGGCAAAGAAAATCTTTATTGAAAAAACATTCAAGGAATGAAGTTTACATCAATAAAGAGGAGCTTGGGCCTGAAAAGCCCCAAGAGCCAGTTGGTGAGAAACCAACAAAGAGAAAATGAGAGGAAAAAACAACAAGCATAACCAAAAACTCCCAGAGGTTGTAACACTGCAGCAAAAATCAGCCAAAACAGAGGCATTCTCACACAGTGGAGGGAGCATTTTATAGCAGAATTCTCACACAGCAGTAGACAGAACCTAATTCAATCCTTCAGAGTGTTAAAATTTTAGCATACACCCATTTGGCTCAAAACCAGCTTAACAAGTAGACCTCCACTCAGACCACCGCTCAGCTGCTGGACCCAAGAGACAGCAACACAGCCAAATGGACCCAAGCAACATAACAGCACCAGAGTTGAGATCAAAGCTGCAAAAAATCACTACACTATAGCACCACATAACTGCACTGAGATGAACAAAGCCACTGATAATGTTGAACAAAGCCAAGCAGAGAAACAATAAATTTGGCCAACTGATAATGCTGAACAAAAATCAACCCCAACAGCTCATATACAAGCCCAGCAGAGCATTATACCAAATCAGAAAGACCAGATCAGCAACCCCAACTGATAAACCAGATTAACACCAGCAGATAAACAAACCCAACTGATAACCAGCAGATCAAACTCCAACCCAGCAGAAAAGAAGCTTTGGCAAAACATGGCCCAAAGAAGCTTTGGCAAAGCCAGCGCATCTAAAGATTTGAATTCCCAGCTCTGATTTGCCTCCAGTTGAAGGTTAAATCATCAACTGAGAAGGGAAGGTCCTTGATGGTTGCTTTCAGCCATAGTGCAGCTCTGACTTTGATAGTTTCACTCAAATCTGAAATATTTGGTTGAGCCTCTTCGAAAATACATTCATTCCTACACTTCCACAGCGACCAAAGAACAATGAGCGGGGTAGCTCTCCAAATTAATCTATCAAAGTGATTGAAGTTTACTCTCATCCACCATTGGAGAAGGCCATCAACTGAATCTTGAATGCACCAAGAAAGCCCCCATTCATGAATAATTGAAGACCAGATCTGCCATGAAAAGGGGCAGTGAAGCAAGACATGTGTGGTTGATTCAGATTCAAAGCCACAGAAGGTGCAACTGATGGAAACAGATGGGTCTAAAATACCAATTCTGAGCATAAATTCTGCTGACTTAATTTTGTTCTTCCAAGCCAACCAACAGAAAAATGAAACCTTAGGAGGGACAGCTCTATTCCAGATATGATTACAAATTGGAAGATGAGGACCAAGGGTGGAATTACTAAAAGAGTAAATTGAGGAAACAGAAAACTCGCCAGTGCTTGCAGTAGCACAAGCCTAGAAAAAAACAATCAGCTTTGTGTGGAGATAGAGAAGGGGCTGACGATAGGGCTTCAATCAAACTAGCTTCTTCCTCCAATTCCCAAGAAAGCATCATTCTTCTAATGGGAAAATTCCAAGTATTTGGGCTGGTTTTCCTATCAAAGTATTGATGAAGAGAACCATCTTTATCAGTTGAGAGATTGAAAAGGAGGGGAAAATCATTCTTAAGGCAAGTGTTGCCACACCATTTGTCATGCCAAAACTTGATTCTATTTCCATCCCCCACTTTAATTTGACAATTATCCGCATAAAAATTGAAAATATTACTGCAATGGTTCCCAATAGATAAGATGTCTTTCCACACTCTAGAATGTTTGTAGGAGAAACTTACCGGTGGATTCCAACAAGCCTCATCTATTTTGTATTTGCTACATATAGCCCTCCTCCAAAGAGAATTAATTTGATTTCCAAATTTCCACCAAGTCATTGAAGTTACGACTCACCGAGTCATAAGTCATATGAATGCACTAGAATTTTTAGAACTTTAAAAGCAAACAATTTTGAAAATCAACATTGGGCATTTCATGATATCAATCTTCTTCATGCAATAAAGTCTACACTAGAACAGTGGAAACTCAAGCTGGGGATTCAAATACAGCAAGTCAGTCTTTCAAAGATGTATAAAAAAGAAATTCTAGCTTTTTTACATTGTAGAAGTGGACAATTATGTCCCTTTCATTTCCTACTTTCCTACTAGTTATGCCATTAAACCTGTTTTACACTCGATGATGGTGATAGAACCAATCACAATGATTTGAGTATATATCACTTTGATGTCCTGAATATATATTCATCACCACTCATCTTCAAGGCTAGCGCGATGAAAACACATGACAGTGCAGACGAATATGAAAAAGGAGAAAAATTCGATCCACATAGCTCCTGCCCCAATCAAATCTGCATGCCTGAGGATAATTGGAATGGCTATGCTGCCCACCGATGAAGCCCCTGTTAAAAACTTGGCAGCATCCATCCAGCTGCAAATACAAATAAAAATAAGAATAAACAAGAAGGAAAAGAAACTGCAATTCCAGCGAATACAGCATATCTATTTGAGCACTAGCCGAGGTGCACAAACAATTTGCAAAATCATATGAGAGAGAGAGAGAGATTTCATTGGTTTTTTGTGGCTAACAAGTAGTGGGGCTATTAAGTTCTATGGTTTCTGGAGCACATAAATAAAGGATAATATTTTGGAAGTTTAGTTGGACAAGGTTAAGGTTTATGAACTGTTCTGGACTCTGAATAATGTCCACGAGTAGTACCCAATAACAACATTTGGAACTGGATTCGGTTATTTGTGTATGCAATTGGCTCAACTGTTCCAGGACGGATCATTCAGGCCTGCTAAATAGGGTTTTTGGCTATGGGATTTGAGGCTAGCCAGGTCTTGTTATGCTTTTTTGGCTAACAAAGACTAGAAGTTAAAAAGAAGTCCTGGAATCAATCACAAATTCCTTAGGCACCAAACCAATGGTTAGCTTGCAAAATTGCAACCCGAAAGAGCTTCCAAAGCTCTTCAAAATTCTCAAAACAGCTCACTCAATCAAATTTAACAGAGTATAACATATACAAAGACTTGATAACATAACTTGACCTGAATTGCAACAAACTGACCATAACCGTCTCTACTACATCCGAACAATGCATACATTGAGTCGTTATAGCCTTCCCCCCTTTAGGAACTTTAGTTCAATCACAAATTCCTTAGGCACCAAACCAATGGTTAGCTTGCAAAATTGCAACCCGAAAGAGCTTCCAAAGCTCTTCAAAATTCTCAAAACAGCTCACTCAATCAAATTTAACAGAGTATAACATATACAAAGACTTGATAACATAACTTGACCTGAATTGCAACAAACTGACCATAACCGTCTCTACTACATCCGAACAATGCATACATTGACCTCATTTCTCACCATTTTGTTTGGATGAATAATAAATAAAAAAAGGAAACATGTATCTTTTTATTATATTGGCTTTGTGTTTAGATGTGTAATTTAAGTATTACAAAAATTTTACAAAGAGCAATTTTGTTTCTCACCACCAAATCTCACCACTTTTGATGAGAAACAAAACATTGGTATTAAGAGAAGAATAGTGTCTTCCCTAGTCATAGAAGGGGAAACTATACTCTCTCATCTCCTTAATCATCCAAACCAGTGATGAAGAGATCTCTCTCTCCATTTCTTTTCTTTTCTTAGCAAGCCTCTCAATCCAAACAGACAGTTAAAAAGGTAACACAAGTCGTTGAATAAGCATATTTAGAATACTACTTTATGACGACCAGTGAATTACTACTTCACGACAACCTCACATGGGTAGCACAATCAAAGTCATAGCAATATGCTTGCAATAAAAAGTAAAAATCTTGACTTGACTGAAAAAAGGTAACACAAGGCTTGTAACCCGTTTGGAACCTTTTAGTAAAAATCTTGACTTGACTGAAAAAAGAAATGATTCATTCAACATGAACACAATGGTTCCTTATATAGTAAGTTATATTATAGTCAGTTTCGCCTTTACAACACAGTTAAACCATCTGATAGAGAAGCATAAAGGAGATACAAAATGAGGCACAAGACAACAATCCTTTTAGAATCAAATAAAAACATAAACCATCTAATAGAGAAGCATAAATGCCAAAGCATACCTTCAGATACTCACTATATGCAAATTATCATAATGCTAAATCTTAGGCAGGTTTCACAAATAAACATCCAATGTAATGTCAAAGGGCATGAATGAAGAAATACTCACCCCCCACCATCCCGGCTAATTAAGAATTGAGTGGACCCACCACCAAAGAACAAACAGGGCATAGGCACCAAAACATACATGAGAGCTGCAAGAACAAGTAAAAATCACAACATCAACCTTCGAAACGCAAACCATGTTCTAATTACTCGAAATAACCAGGGATATCCTTGCTCACCTGATAACATTGGCCACCAGTTGTTGTATAATGCACAAGCCTGCAGCCAGATAAAAAAAGAAGTCATAAAAACGCACTCATATAAACAGGTGCAGCTCTTTACATACAAGATGAACATGTAAATGAAAACAAAAGAAGCGCAGAAATTCATTAAGCAAGGAAATGTACAAAGCCTATAGAACAACCACAAAAAGAACAAATTTTTTTTTTTATATTTTATTTATCAGCAACAAAAGTAATTTTATTGATAAACTTGGAGGGAAACAAAAAGAGGACAAGACATCCTCTTAAATGGGCACAGCCATCACCAAAAAAAAAAAACATTACATCAAGGGGTTTGCATTATTTACTCTAAAAAAAGTACCGTTAAAAAATGTAACTTCTCCTATCATGCAAAATATTATCCACTTGAAGGATTAAAAAATATGGGAAGGTCAAATACAAATGCATGGAAACAAACTGCCTCAACTGCCACCCGAAGAAGCACAAAAAGAGGCCCTTACACGCACGCGGATATGGGTACGTACACAGGACACAATGATTTCCTAAAGCTCGATTTCGAGAAAGCATACGATTCAATAAATTGGGAGTTCCTCTTCTCCATGTTATCAAACTTTGGTTTTGGTTCAAAATGGATTAAATGGATGAAGGAATGTGTATCGACTGCCAAAATTTCTATTCTGGTAAATGGATCACCTACAGCTGAATTTAGTCCCCAAAGGGGACTTAGACAAGGTGATCCCTTATCTCCCTTCCTCTTTAATATTGTAGCTGAGGGTCTTAATATTCTGATACAAAGAGCTGTTCAGGCTGGATTGATCAAGGGTGCATCAGTTGGTTCAAATGATCTTACTATCACTCACCTACAATTTGCTGATGACACAATTTTGTTCTGTGAGGCAAAGAGGGAGGAGGTGCTCAATATCAAAAGAATATTGAGATGTTTTGAAATCTTGTCTGGGTTGAAGATAAACTATCACAAGAGTGTAGTGTGTGGTGTTGGTATTAATGAGGATCTTACCAAAGATTTTGCTGTCATATTGAACTGCCTGCATCAGAGGTTACCTTTGAAGTATTTAGGGATGCCATTGGGGGCTAATCCAAGGAGGAGACGGTCTTGGCAACCTGTCATTGATAATTTCAAACTAAAACTTGCTTCTTGGAAGCGTAGGCTTCTTTCCTTTGCTGGTAGGTTGACAATGATCAAGTCTGTGTTGGCTTCACTACCAGTGTATTATTTATCTTTATTTAGAATGCCTGAAGGGGTAGCCAAAGAGATTGATAGAATTCAGTCCAGATTTCTCTGGGGGGGCGATGAACTTAGAAGGAAAATTCACATGGTAAAGTGGGAGGAAATTACTCTAAGCAAAAGTAACGGGGGTCTAGGTGTTAAAAAGGTGAGAATCATGAATGAATGCCTTCTTCTCAAATGGTGGTGGAGGTTTAGGAGTGAATTTGATTCTATTTGGAAACAAGTGATTCTTAGTAAGTACCCACAGACTGGTGGTGCTAGGTGGCCAGATCAAGATGCAATTTCCAGATATTCTATGGTGTGGAGGGACATTTTGAGGGTTGCTATTAAGTGTCCAGAGTTGCTGGAGTCATTTAAGGCCAACTCAAAGATCAATATTGGGGATGAGAGGCTCATAAGCTTTTGGCTGGATCAATGGGTTGGTACTGACTGTCTAAAGAATTTATTTCCCAGACTATACTCTTTGTCTATGCATAAAGGTCTATCAGTGGCAATGATTACCAGCGAAAGCAATGCAGATGGGGAGTGAGATTTGTCTTTCAGAAGAGCATTGTTTCAATGGGAACTTGAAGAGTTGAGGAGGATGAAGGAGTTACTACAAACTGCTCCAGAGCTCAGGAATGGTGTGCTAGATGGGTTGTCTTGGGCTGCTGACAGATCGGGTATCTTTACTGTATCGTCTGTCTACAAGTGGAGTGAATTACCATCTAATCTGCCTACAAAAGTGGTGGATCTCATCTGGAAGAATGCTGCACCTCCGAAAGTGCAATTTTTTGCTTGGCTAGCATGGAAAGGGAGGATCAAGACTTCTACCTTTTTGCAAAGTATTGGGATCCTTAGTGCCAACTCGGATGTTAACTGTGTTTTCTGCATGAAGGAAAGGGAAACTGCGTCCCATGTGCTGCTGTGCTGTATGTTCAGTTGGAGAGTTTGGTCTAATATTCTTGGATGGTGGGGTGTATCTTGGGTGCAGCCGGGGTCAGTAGTGGGTCTTCTTCAATGGTGGACTGGGGTTACATGCACTAAAAGATTGAAGGTATTTTGGAAGTCAATCCCATTGGCAGTGCTTTGGTCTTTATGGAAGCAGAGGAATGACATTATTTTTAACAAAGCACAGTTGGACTTCGAAAAGCTGTGTGATCTTATCAAAACACGGATTGCATTGTGGTTCAGAGCTTCTAGTCCTTCATTGTGTTATTCAGTTGGTGATTTGGTGTCTAATTTACAAAATGTGAAATTCTGCATCATGCACTGAGGGTTTAAACTATCTACTGCTGTTTTCGAATGTTGTTTCTGTTATGGTGCAATTGATTTAGAAGGGGTTCTGTTTTTGATGTGTTATTCTGTTGTGACTGATCTGTCTAGCTTCTGTGATCCAACATCCAAGCTTGCTCATACTGTGTGCTGTCACATATAAATCTGTTTTGATTTGGTGCTTGGTTTGGTTGAAGGCCTGCTGTAGCTTAAAGGAATGTGTTTGGGCTGCTGTAGGATTGAACAGAACCTGGAAGCTTTATGGGCTGAATTTCTATGGTGAATTCCTCATCTGCTTTTGTTTTGCTTTGCTGCTGGTTGGAAATCATCTGAAAGCTCTGGTTTTGCTCTGCTCCTGGAATTTGGTAACATCTGAAAGGGTGATTCAGCTGTTATGGTGCTGCTGTCAATCCAGTTTGTTTTGTGTTTGTGTTGGCTGGGTGTTTTTTCAGTTGTTTGTCTTTGTTTTGTGTTGGTTTCTCACCAACTAGGAGGTTGGAGCTCATTATAGCTCCAAGCTCCTCTTTATTGATGTTTTTCTATCATATGTTTGTATATATGATTCATCAATAAAGTGTTTTTTTGCCGATCAAAAAAAAAAACATGGTGGGGATACGAAAAAATACAATTTTTCACATATTTTTATTTACTACGTATATAAATCTAAATTTAAGAGCATACGGATATGAGAGGCAGCAATATATATGTGTGGGCATACTTATGTTTTTCTTTTTTCACTTTTCCCCTTCTTTGTTTCCATATATTTTATTTTGACCCTAAATCAACTTTCTAAAATTATTTTTAAAAAAACAAAAAGACATAAAGCTGTCTTGAGACGTGTCTAGACACAAGACATGTGTCCATGAAGTGTTCCCAGCATATCTTGCCAAAAGAATAACAATTTAAAAAATTAACATATCATGTGGCATGTTTCTGGCATGTGGATATGTTTGTGCTATCTTGGTGTCGGACACACAACAACCATTTTAGAGTGTTTGTGCTTCCAAGCTCACACCTCGTCTCTAAAAATAGGGAGAGAAGTACTGAAATACAATAATAACAAAAAAGATAAAGCTAGACTGCTATCTGCTTGGACAGAATTGCACTTCAGTGCCCAAGGGCCAAGAATTGCTTCACAAAATTGACCAGTATGAACACTATACTGTCTCGAATTGGGCAATGAAGAAATGACTTTTTGGTATGGTGTGGGTGTTATGGCTAGAGAGACATGCAAAATTTTTCAAAAATAAATCAAAGGATAGCTTATGGGATAATATTTATCACAAAAAAAAAATAGTAGTGCGATAGGATTTCTTATTTCCCTTCATTTTGGGTGTCAGTTTCGGCTCCGCTGAAGGAATTGCCCTGTTTCTTATTAGTAGTGATTAGACAGTTGTTTGACCATTGTAATTTTGTTTCTCTCTTTTCCTTTCTTTTATAGGGGAATATCTTGTCCTCCTTTTTTACTTTGTACTCTATTTTTTATTTTAATAATATTCTTCTTTTGAGACAGTATTGTTTTGTTACGAGCTTGATTCATCCCATGTTTCGTTACAAGGTATGTCATGTATTGTTTTGATATAGGTGGAATCCATTTGTTGGATCATTTAGAACTCAACCTGAAATTGCTAAAAATGATTAAAACGTCGTTGAGACTTGACTTGGCATTGTCAAAATTAGAAGAGTATGAGCAAGACTTGACCAATTGATGAATATGGAAAATAATTGGGAATTATGTTTAGTCTAACAAAGCTATATGTTTTTGGGACCTTGTTTGAATAGAAAGAAAATTGTACTCCACATTAGGAGACTAAAACTTATGAGAGGTGGAAAGGAAGGACCCAATTTACAAAAATCATGTCGCTATTGAATCTTCTAACGTTGAAAGAAACATTTAAAATTAACTTAAGCTACAAAGTCAAAATATAGACTTCTAGAAAGGAAAACACAATAATTCCCTATTGGAATAGTGATTAGAAATAAATGATATTATGATCTTGTAGGCATAATTAAATCTAGATTTTGAATCCGACATTAGATAGCTTAACCTATTGCAAATAAATTCAATTCTAGTGTCAAACAGAATAAGGAAAGCGTAATGAGAAATAGGGAAGTAAATTTCCTTAGAATGACAAGAGTATATCCATTAAAGAACCTCTGGGAATATAAAAACTTTAATTGACTAATTGTAATGATTTGAGAAAATTAAAAATTTAGTCCTAAATTACCACGTGACAATTGATCAAAGTTAATGAATATATATCTATATAGGTCTTCGAATTGGAATGAGCTTAAGACAGTGTAATTTGAATTATTTAAGTATGGTCTTAGATAAATAAGAATGTTAATGAGACCGCATAAAATGTAGACCCGCTGTGAAATTGAATCACCACTTTGAAATGATAGTATGAGAAAGATTATCAAAAACAGTAATTTTTTTTTTTTTTTTGATCGGCAAAGAAAAATCTTTATTGATGAAAATAATCAAAATAAGATACAGAACATCAATAAAGAGGAGCGTGGAGCTAACATAAGCTCCAAGCGCTAGTTGGTGAGAAACCAACAAACAAAACAAGAAAAACAAGGAAGAAAGAAAACAAACACAGCTAAGAAACTGCTAATCTGCAGCTAACCGATCAGAGCTCAAAAACAGTAATTTTAATTTCACAGAAGTATGTAAAGTTCTGCTCTGATCTGTATGACTGTCTGCTACTATATGAGAGCAAGCCAACATCTGTTACTCAATAGGCTCTATGAATTTCTGTGAAATATGCTTCTGTTTGAAATCCAATGTGCTCCTCTGTTTTGAAATTACCATCATAATTGTCATCCAAGATGTCTGTTTGAAAGTGGGACCATTAATATATGATTACGTTTCCATATAATTCGGAAATTTTTGTTATAAATTAACATGTGGAACCTTAGTTGGGGAAATTACATTATGTGCATAACTTAAGAACCTTGACCATAGTCAATGAAAGTTAATGTCTGTTCTTTTGGGTTAGGATGAATTACAAATTGCATAGCAATAATGTCGGGATTATATTTTTGTTAATAGGACTAAAGGATCGAGAAATTGTGTTTGTTATTAGTAATGCGTTGACTATTAAATTTAATTTGAAGAATCTAACATGTCAATAGCAAAATATTTTGATCTGTTTGAAAAACATTCCTTAAAATAAAATCTCCTCCTATATATTGACGAACTAAGGTATCTAAGTTATAACTTGATCTGAATTATAGATTGACGAACTAAGGTATCTAAGTTATATGATTGATGTCAATAGAAACGTTAATGAATCGCCAATTTGGGTTATTAACCATTAAGTGATTGGAACTAAGTTCAATTTACGTGAAGAAGTCCAATGAAAAAGGAGTTACCTAAGGGGAGGAATTGAAGTGAAATCAAGTTATATGACTGATTTTCTGTACAAGTATCTTAAGTTTTGAGGACTAAAGTTCCTAAAGGGGGGAAGGCTATAACGACCCCATCACGTATAATGACTAGTACTTGGATAATTAAGAGGGTTTGAAATTTAAGTGCCGATTATTATAATTTAATCTAGAATTCACGAAAAGTATGGAGATTGATTCATTTAAGGTTCTATTAAGTGCTTATTTTGGGAATTGAAAATTAAGGGTCCAAATGGTTTAAAGAAGTGAAATTAAGAAGTTGAGTCAATTTAATCTTAATTATGGACCCATTTGGGAGTTTAATTAAATATTCGTTCCAGTTTAGCAAAATTAAGGTTTGATTAATTAAATCCAAATTGGAGTTAATTAAGCTAATTAAATTATGAAGATTGAGAATTGTGAATATTGCGAATTAAATTTATTTATGGGGTGTTCTATTTGAATATGTAATTTAATTGACGGAAACTTGGAGTCTAATCAGAAATTGAAAACCTAAATGATTTAAGAAACTAAAATTGAGGTTGGAAATAAGTTTAATTTAATAATTGGAACCTTTTGGGATATGGATTAAAAATTTGATTTGGACTAATAAATTTAAATATATTTAATTAGGCTCTAATGGAAGTCAAATAGATTAATTAAATTATGAGAGATTTATGATTTATTACAATTAATTTAATTATGTATTAATCAATATTTATTTAGATTAAGTGTTGCCTAATTAAGTTAGTTTAATCATAAATTGAATGGTGTTAAATTTGAGGGTGTATGTGGGCGTGTGTACTAAGCAATCTGTGTGCGCGCGCATGTGAATGATGTGTTGGTATTCAAGGGTAAGTGCACGTGTGCAGTGTAAGGAATGGTGTGTGTGTGTTTGAGGAGAGAGTAGGCAACTCTTTTTTTTTATTTATTACTTACTGGAAGCACCCTTGTGCTGGAGTGAGATTGAAATCAAGAGAGTGTAGCTTCATCTTTGTATGGGCAACCCGTGAGAGAGAACCAAGAGAGAGGAGGGAGAAATTTCAGCTCAAGAAGAGGAGAAACTAAGGGAAGAGAAGCTAGGGAAAAGTAGAGAACTAAAGAAAAGTTCAAGAATTTGTCAAGAAATTCATCAATTTGAAGACTTAAGGTAAGAAATTGAGACTTAAATTTTGTAGATGATTTATTTACAAGCTGAAATTGAGGGGTAATTGGGTTTAATTTCATGACATGAGAAAAGAATGTAGAAGGTTTGGGTTAAGTTTCATAATTAAATAATTGATGTTGTGATTAAATATTTGAATTTGATTTTTCTTCATCCTTCACATATTTGAAGTTTATCATTACATGCATGGTAAGTTTTCAAGATTTTAGAATTTAATTCATATTTTAAAGTTTTTGAGATTGAGATTAAATTGTGATATAAATTAAGAAGTCAAATTATAGATTGAGCTAGATGATGTAAAATTGGTTGGATTTGATAAGTGTTTTATACATGCATTATGGATTTTGAGGAATTTAAGGTAAACAATTTCATGTTTTAAAGAGAAGAAGGAAAAAAAAAATTTATAAGAAAAATCAAATTTATGGAAAATTAAACATTGATTT